TTGCGAAAAACTGATGCGACCCTGAGTAAGAGCAGTAGAATTAACAGGTTTAGCAGCGATTGCCACTTTCTTGTTGTTCTTCGACTTTCCCATTGTCAGTTTTGATGCAAAAAGGAGGAGCGAGTTTTCGTGTAGGCAAAGTACCGAAAGTGATGTTTTGAGGACCCGGAGATGCGTGTTGTTTTTGTATTTTTGTTTTTTCGGAATATACGACGCCTCCAACCAGATGAAGCTGAAAGGACCCTGGGAGTCATGATGGCCCCACTTGAGACCGGAACAGCACAACACCTTGCTCTGCGGGAGAAGGCCAAGAACTGGGCAGCCAAGTTCCTTCCCCAACATCTACTTTGCTATGATGTTCTTCCCTTGCTCAAGGCAACCGCCTTGAAAACTTTGGAGTACATGATGCCCCTTTCCACCCTCGGCGGCTCCGACTGGGTGTCCATCATGTCACCTTTCCTCCAAGCGATCTTGCACAAAGCTGGGGTTTGCCGTTCCTTTCCCCGCGTCGTGGTCTTTGCCCCTCTGAAATATCAGGGCTTGGGTATTCCGCATCCTTTCGCCCTTCAAGTCTTCCACCTTCTCAGTGTTCTGATGCGCCATTTGGCCAGCCGTACCAAGACCGGCCAGTACCTGGAGGCCAACCTACAGTCCCACCAACTCGAAACGGGCACCTCCTTTCCCCTTCTTCAACAAGAACCCACCAACACCGGGATCCTTGCCTCCGAAACATGGCTCAAACGGGTTTGGATCGAGCTCGACTCATTGGGCATCAGAGTCGAGATCTCCTCCCCTCCCTTGTCCCTCCACTGTGCCAACGATCGTCTCTTGATGGACATCTTCATCGATGCCTTGGTCGACCAAGAGGACTTGCTGTGGCTCAACTGGTGCCGCCAATACCTCCAAGTCACCACCCTCTCGGAACTCACCACCGCCGACGGTTGTTCCCTGACGGCAGCTTCTCTTGCCGGCCAACCCTCCGGACACTTTGTGACCAGCTACAATTGGCCCCGAACCCGACGCCGTGGCCCCTCTCATTAGGACCTATGGCGACGCATCCTCTCTCAAGCTGTTCGCGGCCATGCTGACCGAACCAAGACATGGCGACAGATGTCTTGGTGGGAACGACGGAACTCCGAGGTGGACGACATTGCCCAGGGCTACGCCGACGAGCTGATCGCCACCGATGACACAATCGCCACCAACCCCAAGTTCTTCTCTGAACCCTGTGCGATCTACATTGACAATGAGAAGGTCTCCTGCCTGGCCTTGGAATCGATCAACTAAGCCGTTGTCCTGCCGGAATTGATGGAATATTGGGCAGCCAAAGGCCGCCTCGCTCCCAAGCACTTCCGATTGGTGGACTGGCCGATCGTGCACCGAGCGATGAAGTCTCTGAAGCCCACCGAACAGCGCTTCATCACAAAACACATCATTGGCATGTGCGGTGTCAGCAAGTTCTGTAAACGATGGGGTCTCGACTCCGAGAACTGATGCCCCTTGTGCAGACTGGAGGAAGACCACCTACACGTCCCCCGCTGCCCTTCCGACTGGGCCAAGACCCAGTGACAACTCCTACTCCAAGAACTCCAAGAATGGTTCCAGTCCACCGCCACTGCTACACCCATCGCCCACTTCCTTGGGGCCCTTCTTCGCACCCTCCGCACCCCTAGCAACCAGCCTCAAACAGAGACTCCGTGGTACCGCCTCCACGGTATGTCTTCTTCCGCCCTCACCCAAGTCTGCGAGGCCCAACTCCGCCTTGGCCCCCAATGCCTCCTCAAAGGCCTTCTCGTCCACGGCTGGGCCGACCTCCAGCAACAATTCTACCGCTCTCGCGGTAGTCGCCGATCCGGTAACCGCTGGGCTGCCAATCTAAATTGACAGCTCATCCTTATCGGTAAAGGCATGTGGAAGCATCGCAATGATGTCTTTCATTCTGATGACAACATCGTCAACCAACAGCGCGCGACTGCTCTCGATCGACACATCCACAAAGAGTTTGATATGGGTCCTCGCGACTTACCTCGGAACCTTCGCCCTGTCATCCGTCGACCCCGCCTTGTGGAAGTCCTCCGACTCCTACTGGCGGACAAGGAGGAATGGGTCCTCGTCATCTCCGACGCCCGCTGCAAAATCAGACAATCTCTTGCAGGCAGGCGACGATTGATGTGGGAACTGACCCACCCTACTCCTTGCCCAGCAGCCCCCCGACTCACTTGTCTACATATTTACCAAAGTGATTCTAGTACCGGTACATCACAAGCCACACGTACCCCAGTCTAACACATACATATTCTCCACCCCACCTCGCGTGGGAGAGCCGATTGTCCCTTGATACTTTCGACTTGCGAGCAATGTTCCTCTATTGAACGCCTCCACGTGGTTCAAACTTTGTTGACCAAAAGCAACCTAGTTTCTGGCCTCTACAGCCGTATTACACCGGCAGTTGGATACTCTAGAAGTAGCATACATACCAATTAATGATTCAGTTATATATATATAATATATATATATCCCTTAACGCTTTAGACGATATAATATATCGGATAAAAAAAAATTCCACACATTTCACGCAATAACTTCCGCCACGTACAAATACACCTTTTACTGCCATAAATAAGTTTATTGCCAGTGAAATAAGGAATTCATCGGTATGCTACATGTTATATCTCAGCCCATCACAGAAACAAGGATGAACCTCCGAAGTCGGACAGACCCATTTGCCCCAAAACTGACACCAACACAAAACTGTCTCGTCAGGTCATGAAGACGGCATATTCTTCCACCCTACCATTTGCCATTGATATGTATTATCACAATGGCACTTCTCGGCCCTATCAGAAGGTGCAATAGGCATGGGAGAGGACCATGCGGCTCAATTTGGTGGTCTGATGGACCAAAAAAATCTGAGTATGTTGCTCGTCATCCCGAATGTAAATAGTCATGCAAGACAAAGGCCAGCACCTTCAAGGGTGAAGGATAGTCATTCGAAAGTGATTCTAGTGTTGATTGCAGTGTGTAACTGTATTTGCATGGCTGTCAATCCTGCAAAGTAGGCTGTTGGCAATTGCGTTGTGGCAGAGTTACATGGCCAACGCATTATGTGACAATATACCAAGCGGAGCACCAATGAAGACGTTTAGAATGATTGCCACATCTAAGCCATGGCTTCCTGCGCCTAGATTCAGTAGAAAACAGTAAAAGCACACTGTTGCTATCAAGAAAGGAAATGAGCAACTCCATGTGGCCGATTTCGCTTATCAGAAGGCTCTGGAGAAGCAAAATGGAGCTACAGCGACAACTAAGCTTACTGTACCTGCTAGGAAGTATTCATATTTAAATTTGTCCCTTTGTAATGATCATTTTAATGCTTATTATTGTAGTAGTATGGTGTAAATAGTAGTGCGTAATTTTTTTTATATCCGATATAATATATCGGATAAAATCGAAGCGTTAAGGGATATATAAATATATTATATATATATATATATATATATATTGCTTGTTGGTGGAGGCGGGCTCAACAATGATTGTTGATGAGGGTCCGACGTTGGAGGCGAACGGCACGTTCAGTTGGAGTTAGCCATTCATCTTGTAGTGGTGGGGCTATAGGTTGCCCTCAAGCATCACGGTTGAGGGCATCACAAAAGTTCTCATATCCGGATTCAACCAGATTGAACCAATGATTGGCATCAAGTTGGTGAGGATTGGCCGCCCTCCCTGCATCCGAGTTGGGGACAGTACTGAAGTGGTCGTCACACACAAAATGATATTGTGGCGAGATATGTTTAGTTTGAAGGTTCAGGATTCGCGCGACCGAGGAGGAATGGTCAGGTGAATAGCCGGCATACATTCCACGTCTCGATCGTGGATTCCACTTAGGAAGCTTCTTTCTATCTTGAAGTTTCGGATCGAGGACGTAGGTAGGACATCCAAAGACGTGAAGGCAATGTAGAGAGTTGTAGTTGGGGGACCTTGATTGGCTAAAAAATTCCAGTGGTGCTAAACAAGTGTCACGGCGTGGAAGGTTGTTCCATATGTATGCTGCATGTTTCATGGCAAAGGGCCATAAGTGGACGTCCACTTCGTCAGGCCAGTGAATGACCTGGTGGAGAAGCATGGTCCAAGCCCACTTAGTAACCGTTTGAATTGCACGTTCGGCAACGGCATTCTGATGATGAGCACCAACACCGCTGAAATCAATTGTCTGCTGCTTCAAGACAAGATCGTTTTGCTAAATTGCAGAGTTGAAAGGCGTGTGGTCTGCTCGATAACTCTTGATGTCTGGTACGTTGTTGGCTATTGCCCATTGCTTGAACTTGTGCTTTGCCATCAAAGTTTTGCCTGCTTGGAGAGAAACTTGATTGACGATGAAGATTGACCAGAAGAGTGGTCACAAAAGATAGTACCCCCTGAGTACTGATTTTTCTTCTTTTCTTTTCCTTTAGTGTGTGGCAACCTACCAGGAACAAATGAAACGTAGCTATCGATGGAAACCTTGGCACCCGGTGTCAGATCTCCCTCTTGAATAGCCATCTCCCAATCATCGAAGGCATGTTGCTTCTCAGGAGTACGTCGTGCTTGCTTGCCAAGCTCACAAGCGGCACAGAGGATGGTCCGTTGTGAGTTGCTTGCTCCTTTATGGCGACATGGTAAGATTGCTTCGTGATTCGGGTCGTTAGGTTGGGCTAGGAGACGCTGAACCCATTTGAAGTGAGCATGCCCAAGCTTGGCATGATAGAGCAGCGTCTCTATCTCTTTTCGGCTCCAACGTCAAAGCCTAGACCAGCGCAATGAGCATTCGCATCCAACATCATTGGAATATTGTTCGATTGGAAGGGAAATTCAAGTTCCGATTCGTCAGCGAGCGTGAGGATAACTTTACGATGGTTCATGAGAAGGGAACCAGCTCCCTTTATCTCTTGGAAGTAGCACTGTGGTGAGAACAATCGAATCTGTGCAGATGGAACCAGGTAAGCTGTAGTTCTGATTCGTCGCACAGATCCATATACGTCTCTAACAGTCCATTCAACTGTTCCACTTCCCACAACCTCACACGATCCTTGGAGGCCATTGATAGATTTGAGTGGGCTAGGGCGGACTTTAGAGATGAAATCTGACTCATGAGGTGTGATTGAGATAGATGCTCCGGTATCGATGACCATCGGAGTCTTAGAGTTGTCGGAGAGGTAGATCGACTGGTGGTGGAGCGTGTCTGGCAACCGCGGAATTTGACAATCAATCTGAGAGATAGCGGCATTGACAGCTCGAGACAAGGTTGCAGCATTCGACTTAGCTGCCTTGAGTGTTGTTTTGACTTGTGTTTCTTCTGACTTAGTGTGCAGCGACCATAAAGGATTCGACAGGGCTGCGATTAGATGATATTGCTTGAGAGGATCGACACTTCAAACAAACTGGCCGAGGTCAACTGAATACTGGGCGTCGATCTGGATGAAGCGCAAGTGAAGGAAACGATGCTTGTTCCTTGTGTAGTCTTCGAGGATCTCTTCATCTGAAGGTGAGTTCCAATGACGGGGAACACTTGTGGCTTGCTTTTCGGCTTGCTGATGTTGCCTTTTTCTTTTCTTTTCTTTTCTTTTCTTTTCTTTTCTTTTCTTTTCTTTTCTTTTCTTTTCTTTTCTTTTCTTTTCTTTTCTTTTCTTTTCTTTTCTTTTGTTCTTGCCGTCTTCCAATAGAACTGTACTCTTTGAGGCTTGACTCGACGACGGAAGGCTTTGAGGATGAGGTGATAATGAGGTGGATTGTGCTTTCAAGATTTGGGCTTGCAACAGCGCCAAGGAAAGGCACATCCGAGAAGTTCTAGTGCATTGAAGGGAGGAGTTGGCACTAGCGAAGGCAGATCTGGCTGTCTGCGCAAACACTTAGTTCAATGACAAAGTCGCTTCGCGACTGGAGGAGAGGATGGAGGAACTACTGAGGGCATTGCAGCATTTAAGATGAGGACGAAACTGACGAGGACGAGCAGTTTCAAGAGGTATAAAAAGTCAACTAGACTTAAATGGAGACCTCATCCATACCCCCTTGCAGCAAGGGCCACCATATGGGGACGGAAGGGTAGGACGGGAAGACGGTAGAGAGGAAGACTACAATCATCCGGAGGAGTCAAGTGGCACGGTTCACTTGATTGATAAGTTGGTTCATGCCCGTGGCAATGGTAGAGACCTGCTGACGAATCTGAGGAAGAGTTGTAGCAGAAGTTGCAGCGGTCAAAGCAGAGGCATCGCCAGAGGGGACTTGGGCGACAGACGGGGCAGGAGCAGGAGCGGCAGCCGCTGGAGGAGCTGGAGCTGCTGGAACCGGAGCAGGAGCAGGAGCAGGGGCACCAGATAAGAGTGCGTGAGGGCGATTGGTTGTCTCTGATTGATCATCACAGAGCTTCCAGGACTTAATTTGCTCCGAATTGTTTGACTATCCATGGATTAAAATGAGTTTCTGTTGGAGTATTATGACGACCCGCCATCCGCAATTGTCGATGCAATCAAACAAAGGAGAAGTGATGAGTCCAACAAAGCTCCTCCAAACCAAGAACTAGTGAAGGCACCGGATCCGCCTTGTATTCAAAAAATATATGATCCAATGAATTCGATTGATGAGCCAGGCACAGATGTTCAAGGAGATTCTGCCAGATCTGTGGGGGAGCAGGCGCAAAACTCAAATCGTTTTGCATCTCTACAAAGTGACGATGAATCGTCCGACGGTAGTGGAACTTCCAGAACAAGGTGGCGACCATCTACATGACAGACTGCAGTTCCCTAGTCCTGTGGTCGACAGAGGGAGAGTGAAACATAGAGGGACAGAGAGATGGCCGAGACATCTGACTGTTTATGGACTAGCGCCGGTTGGCCGAGTCGATGTTGGGTTGGCGGGTCGCGCCAGGTCAAAGATCATCTGGCGTTGCCTGGCTAGAGAGCGACGGTTGATCGCTCTCTCACGGGAGACAAGGCGCAGCCAATGTTGACAATCTTTGAGTGATTTGTTGAGGACAGTGTCGTGGGAGTCCCAAAAGAGGTACTGGGTGTTAGAATAAAGCAAAATGTGCTCTATCGTGAGTGCTTTTAGCGCTCAGAACAAACTCTCTGCAATCTAAATTCGTAATCGATTGTACAACACTTTCACGATAATAGTTCTCCTGTGTCTAGGTATACTTTGAGTGAAATTGTTCCTATTTGATTAATGTTTGGCTTGAATTGATGATTCAATCACAAAAGTGAGTTCGACGATTTTCCCTTGGAAAATCCCTTGTTTACAGAACTCGATTCGACTTCTACGGCAATTCTGTGTTGAATGCAGTACTTTGGGATATCTTGCATTATTCCCTACTGCATTGTACACAACATCGATATTCCACTTGTACAGGATCTTTTCCTGTTTGTGTGGATACAGATTGTCCGACAGACTTGCGTCCGGCATACTTGCGTCAAATCCCGACATCTTGCACGATCAAATTCCGATCTCACGTGTCAAAAACCTCGTACTTGAATAGTTTCGTTTGGAACGTAAAAACTCATATTTCGTCATATCCCAACACTGGGAGCGTGGGGGGATATCCATCAGGCCCATGGCGAACTGTTCGCGGATGCCGATGTCAATCTCCCGCTTGCGAGCCGTGTACCAGGAGCTGTCTTCAGAGTGGGCAAGCCGGTTGCGGTCTTTCCACATGTAGTGCCCGATCCGGATCAGTTGTTGGATCAGGCGGGAGGCCCAAAGGTTGGCAGACTTCTTGGAGCCAATGTAGGAGAAGTGAAGGGCCTGGAGGTGTCTCCAGTTGGGGGACACTAGGCCTTCAAGGAGGCCCTGGGCCCCAAGCGTGGCTTGGGAAGAGATGGCACTTTGGAAGAGGTGGGGATGGCGAGACCAGGCTCGGACGGTGGGGACGCCCAAGGAAGGCTGACGGACTGTCTTCAGGTATTCAAAGAGGAAGGCTTCGATCTCTGGGGCAGTCTGCTGATTCTGCATCCAGGTCCGGGGGGCCAGATGGCGTTTTGACCATTCTGCAGCTGCAGTAGGAGCAGAACAGCGTGGGACATGGAGGTGATCTTCCACGGGGCAGGAGGAGCATCTGGGGCAGGAGCTCTTTGCCGAACGGTTCCAAATGGCCAAGAATTTTCCCACACCTGTCATACCGGAGATATGTTTGGGTGTCCAGCGTTGGAGATTTGCTTGGAGGGCCTTCATGGTGGCGCATGCAAGAGATAACCAATCGACCTCACGTATGGACTGCTCGGAGAGGCGGTCCTTGGAGGACCAATATGCTTGAAGGGCAGGAAGAGAGACCAGCTCCATGATGTGAGCCTGATCCAGTTTGGAAGACTTAACACCGTTGATGAATAAAGACACAGGTTCATGGAAGAAGCGGGGGTTGGAGGCATCCGAGCGGCCTGTAGACTCCAGCAGGCGGCGGTAGTTTGGAGTCCACTTCCACATTGCGCTGCTCCCACCAGTCCAGTTGGGAGAAAGGCCGGTGCTTGTCCAGGTGGCCTTTAACATGGCGCCAATGAACTTGGAAGGGAAGGTGGCGAAGCAAGGCCCGGATGGTGGAGGCCAGATCAAATTGGGCACCAGACGATGACAGGTGGACTTCGGAGAAGGACTTATCAAGAGCTATGAGCCCGTCGCAGGCCATCTCAACCGACGGTTGGCTGGCAAAGAGTTTCAGTTGAGCGACCTGAGACATCAAGTCCAACACCAGGAGAGAAGCCATAAGGCCAATCAATTCACTGCGCGTGGAACTCTGGTCGTCAAATTTCCCAGGGGTTTGGCAGGTGATCCAGATGATATCCCTGCGGTCCTCAGTGAGAATTTGAGCGCAGGCTGTGCCCACTTTAGCTTTGTAAGAGCCGTCGC